TTTATTTATTTAGTATGCATAAGATGATTATTTCAAATAGGCCTATACTTTCTCACGTTCAGACGAAAACTCAAATAAACAGTTTTAATAACAGTCTATTTAACTGTTTATTTAATATATAAAAGCTACTAAACCGTTTTCATGATCATTCTTAAAACAATGGTTGTTAAGATGGGAGGGTTATGTGATAGTTGTGAGGAAGAGATTAACTTTTAGATATTGTGTTTTCTTTTAATTCTGTGCTTTGTTCATAACTTTTTATGTGACTGTAATAATTTATTAAGGGAAGCTCCGTCTACACAATGTTTAGTTTTTGATTTGTCTTAATATATTGTTCCAATGACCTGTGTATATAATGAACACTAATTATTTATTGATAGTATCATCATCATCATCATCATCATCATCATCTTCATTGTTATTGTATTATTTTGATTATTATAGTATTATTATTATTAAATATATATAATAATTATTACAATTATTATTATTATTATTATTATTGGTATTTTTATTATAATTATTCTTGCATTTTAAACTTCATTTTTATAGCATTTTATTGATTGTCTATGTACATTTGGATTTGTCATTTGAGGTTTTTTTTTTTTTTTTTTATTATTGTAGGCCTATTTGCTTGGCTCTGGATAACATGCTCTATGTACTGATCAGGTCAACCAAGGTAAAACATAAATAAATAAATCGATATTAAATTTAAAATAGAATATGAGCCTCCTTAATATGAGATATCGTGACGAAAAATAATTCGCAATTTTGTTATTGTCACTCTTAGTACCCTATAGGCCTACTAGTATATTATCGAAGAACGTTTTATGAAAATGTCGGGGGGCTTTCTTTTCTTTATATACTGAGTGTTGTTTTTTGCAAAGACGGGGTTGATCTTAAAAAAAAAAACTAAGGGATTCACTGATTTGAATTCGGAGTCACCATACTCTTATTCAAGTTGATCTTGATGTGAAGTATATTTATGGACCCGTACCCCCATTTTAATTTATGGCAACCAGTGTGTTGACTTAAGTGATTCTCTTATTAATAAACTCGATAAGTTTCAAAATAAACTCATGATGAAGGCTGCAATCGGTATTCCTATTTTGTCGTACCACTCCTTCCAATGTTATCAATGCTATTAAATGGCAACCTAAAACAACCTAAAATGCTTTCAGCTGGACCTTACACCATGCTTACACTGTATCGCAAATTTGTTATACCGTAACCCTGATGTGTCCATTACTAACATTTTTGTTTAAGTGTTATTTAGGGGTACTATGTGTTATTAATGATTTATATTGCGCTGATAATATTTCCCTGATTAAATCTATTTTTGATGTTAAGTTGCATTTTAAAGATATTTTTCGTTTAAATCATGGTATCTGTGATACACTTTTTTTTTATAAGAACCAGTAAAATTTTGCCTAGGCTCAGTGTTCTTATTTTTTGGCCGATTTCAGGCTCAAAATGTTCTTATTTTGATCTTAGTTTACACACCTTTTAATTGTACGGCAGTATGCACTGTACTTGAATTTAGGTGAAAGTGACCCCACAAAAAATGGCCCCCAAATGTCAGATAGGTACACCTACCACCTACTGTATTATAGAGGGTATTACAGTCACACCTACTGCACAGGTATAATATTTTGGTTTAAAAAAATATAAACCTCATTTGAAATTTTACCTCAGCCTCAATTTGTTCTTAATTTTTAAGCAATTTTAGCCTCAGTGTTCTTATAAAAAAAAGTGTAGTGTTAATATGTATTAACGGTTTTTATGGTGTATATAATGTATTATCACCACTTTTAATTGTACGGTATTGCATTTTGATAGGTTTTGTACTGTTTTACTATTTTATTATCAACACTTTAATTGTATTGCTCTCTGATTGGTACTTTCTTCTTTAGAGGTTTTACGGAAATAAATAAAATTAGGCCTATTATTGGTATTGTTTTTCGTATTATTAATGAAATGCCTGAAATCGTTGTCTAAATGTAATGCTATAAGTGACAATTACAGTATGTCATGGATAGTAATTATAATTTGTTTTGTAAGAATTAACAATATAATGTAATTATGTAAAAATATGATGGAATGTTTGTGTGTAAAATGTTATTAAAATTAGGCGCTTTTACAGTCTTGGAATTCCAAATAGCCAATCTTGAATTTTGCGATAAATGACGTGAGCTGGAGATTACGTTTGCTGAACTTGATGAAGGTACCTGTTGTCTGACGGTCCGGTTCAGCGAAAAAAGATCTCTATACACACACTCTCTACAAACACAAACGCAGCAAACAATCATGTGTAATACAACCACAAAACAAAAGACAATAGAAATTTAGTATGATCTGGGATTGAGTTAAATTTATTGCTATCCCAATCTTAGAATATGTATACAGTAGTAAAAATATATAAAATTCAGGGCTATGCAAGAAATATATACAAGAAATATTATATTAGTTGATTTGTGAAAACGGCTGTCAATTAGGCCTATTCTCAATTAGTAATACTTTCTGGTTATACGTTGACAGTTGTAGAGTCTGGTGTTTGGTAACCGGTGATTGTCGCCGGGTGATGGGTGTTGAGAATCCACAGGTTGGTGATTCGTCAAAGCAGGGAGGCGCTAAGAAATCGTAGCTAAATACTTCATCGTAGTCCATGCTCTGATCAAGATCATTCACTGTTGTACACGATGATGAGGCCCCGTCCGAAAGAAGTGATACACCTGAAAACAAGAGATACAATACATGGTCAATTAAATAAAGCGATATGAGTTGTTAATTTTAGCAAAACACCCGCAATTATGAAGTTTAGAGCTCAATACCATGATACATCTAAATACAATTACTGTATTACGTAGATTTAGTTTTTTCAAGCTAAGAGGCTGAGCATGGTTCATGGAATGGAGGTGCACTATGTAATAAAACACACTATACTGGCGGCTATATTGTAGTTTAGAATTTTAGATGACAAAAGCGTTGACAGGTGTACACCCGCTATCAATAAACGAAAATATTTTAACACCATTTTTAATAATGACAGGTTTGACAATGTTTAGATATTTTAAAAAATAACTACTGAATTAAAACCACAATACTTACAAAGTCGGCCCATTCCAAACTCAGCTAACAGCTCATCACCACTGATGCCTCCACATATCACAGAGTCGTCATCATCGAGGATGCCGCTGAACGTAGTAACACCAAAGCTGACATCACCAGAATGCTGCGAATCTGACTCATCCTCCGACCACGTGGACCCACTTGATGAATTTGGAAACCGGATTTTGAGGTCTGCATCCATTTCTGTTCGGAGGAGGTCTTCTCTTGATAGATACGGCAGTTCGTTTCCATCTTCTTCTTCGATGTCATCTCGAAATGTTGTGGAATACAGCTCATACCATTGGAGTCTTCTGCAACAATCATTAGCAGCCATTTAGTCAGCGTAATTAATAATAGTGGATGAGATCTCGAAATACAGTCTAACAGCAGACACGTCTAAGAACAAATTGTAGTAACTCAGCTGAGATCGCTTAATTTTATCCTGAAGATACTGATAAGTCACGGTCACGTGACGTTGTTAACCGACCAATCAGAAAAGTTGTATTCAATGCTTGACAGCAAAGCTTTCTAGCAGTCACGTTTGATTGATGTTCCCCGTGACGTAATAGCGATCTTGAAACAATACGACAACGGGAACAATGGATGCCGTTGAATACTTCCATAGAATCGTGAAAGCACATTGAGCTGTTATCATTATCATAATATTATAATTTGTATCAATATGAATTGTTATTTTAACAATTACGTGTAACAAATAGGCCTACGTGTTCACACTAAAACAAAAAATGTGGAAAATAACAAAAACTAATCCCATAACATACTAAATACTACACATTTTTATACTGTAA